GTATTTGCTAGGCATGGTGGTGCACACTTGTAATACCAGTACTGGGAAGGCAGAGGGAAGGCAGAGGCAGCAGGATCACCACAAGTTCAAGGCCAGCCTGAACTTCTGAATCAGCCAGGGACACATATAAGTTTACTTGAACCATTGATTATTATGATTTCACAAAATATTTGTATGTAAAAAACTGTCAGGTCTCAATTTTTTTTTTTTTGTCTTTTTGAGGCAGGGTCTCCTTAGAGCCCCAGCTATCCTGAAACTCACTGTGTAGACCAGGCTGGCCTCAAACTCACAAAGATCCGCCTGCTTCTGCCTCCCAGGTGCTGGGATTAAAGGCGTGTACCACCACACCCGGCTTAGGTCTCAATTTTCTAGTACTGTACTATTCATACCTTTGTTTTGGGGGGGGGGGTCTTTTTGAGACAGGGTCTCCCTGTAGCCCCAACTGTCCTGGAACTCAGTATGTAGACCAAGCAGGCCTTGAACTCACAGAGATCTGTCTGCCTCTGCCTCCCGAGTGCTGGGATTAAAGGCATGTGCCACCACACCCGGCCCCTATTCATACTTTTAAGTCTGCTGTTACCAGACTTGGCTGATGGATTGACTTTGATAACAACTATAAGACTCTGTATCCAGAATTCATGGAATCAGTCTGGTAGGTTTATTAAAATTGTGAGTATGATGCATATTCTTTTGCATTAGTTAGAGGAGAGGTATGCTTGCATGAAGCAGTTTGTTTTCAAGTCTTTAATTATTGGATTTTAGAGAAGGTATATTTTTGTATTCAGATTTTTAGATTTTGGAAATACAATAGAGTATGCACATCTTCTGTAGTGTAGAAGAGCTCTAGTAGGTTCAAATGTGTTTGTATTTCTGCAAAGTAGACTAAAGAGTATAATCTAATGTCAAGTAAAGGGTTGTTCTGGTTTGGTTTTTGGTGTTTTGGGGTTCCCTGCCCCAAACTAATGTGTACCAAATTCGAAGAGAATTGAGTTTTTGTTTTGGTTTTGCTTTTTACACAGGATCTCACTACTATGTAGCTCTGAATGGCTTGGCCTGGAACTCGCTGAGTAGACCAGGTGGACTTACATTGATAGAGATTAGCCTGCCTCTAAATCCCAAGTACTGGGATTAAAGGCATATGCCATCATGCCTGGCAGGAAAAATCACTTTTAAGCATAAGAGATTGTGTGGAGCTGGAGAGGTGGCTCCTGGTTAAGAGCACTGGCTGCTCTTGCAGAGGGCCCGTATTTGAATCCTAGCTGTCTGTAACTCTAGTTCCAGGGGATTCAATGCCATCTTCTGACCTCCACAGGCATTACATGACATGGATGCACTTACATACATGCAGGCAATACACTCATACACATAAAATTTAAAAAGTAGATAAAATATCTTTTTAAAAAGTATAAGGGATTGTGTACTTGAATGAACTGCTGAAATTAATTATTGTTTGGTAATATTTACAAATGAAAATTTGCTTTTTGCTACATAAGACAATGGAAGCAAGGCCAGTCTTATTGGGTGGTCTTAAGTGGACCTTCTCTACTAGTCTGAGAATCATTACTGGGTCAACAGGCAACATCATCATGGTTGCAAAATGTCCAAGGTATATAATTCAACCTTGAGGAAATCTTGCTTTTATTAAGTTAATGTTTTAAAAGTACAGAAGAATTGGGGTTGGAGAGATGGCTCAGCAGTTAAGAACACTGGCTGTTCTTTCAGAAGACCCGGGTTCAAATCCCAGTACCCGCATCGCAGCTAACAGCTGTCCATAACTCCAGTTCCAGGGGATCCGATGGCCTCTTCTGTCCTCCGTGGGCATTGCATGACATGGGTGCACTTACACACATGCAGGCAATACACACACACATTTAAAAAAAAAGTACAGAAGAATTAAAAAGTTGGGGGTTTTTAGTTTATTTTTTGCCCTTGGTTCTGGGGAACGAACATAGGGCCTTCCAAATTCTAGGCAAGCAGTCTGCCACCGAACCACATTTTTTTAAATTTATGTTTATATGTGTGTGCCGCATGAATTTATGTACACCATGTGTGTGCAACACCCTGCAGAGGCCAGAAGAGGTGTTGAATTTCCTGGAACTGGAGTTACAGGTAGTTGTGAGGTACTATGTGGGTCCTGAGAAGTAAACCCAGATCTTCTGCAAGATCAGTAAGTGCTCTTAAATGGCTGGGCCATCTCTCTAGCCCCAGTCTTGATATTTTGAGACAAAGTCTCACTATGTATCCCAGACAGAACTCAAACTTGTAATCTTCCTGTCTCTTCCTCTCCAGTTATGGACAGTTAGCCACCATGTGGGTGCTGGGAATCATACCTTGGTCCTTTGTAAGAATAGCCAGTGCTCTTAACCTCTGAACCATCTCTCCAACTCCATCCAGTCCTTGGAATTTTTAGACAAATTATTATGTAGCGCAAGGTAATCTTGAACTCACAGTATAGCCCACACTGGCCTCGAATTCACAATTCTTAAGAATTTGTCTAAAAATGGAAGCAAGTAGACAGCATTCCTCTGGTTTTTGCCAGTTTTTACCTTCAGGAACCTACTTGAGCTCCTTTCTTGACTTCCCTTGATGACAGAGGACAGTGATTGGAACATTTAAGCCAAATAAACCTTTTCATCCTCCCCGCCAAAAAAAAAATTGTTTAATTTTCTTAGTCCAAGGACTGAGACTACAGACCAGTGAGTGGAACAGCAGTTGCCTAGCATATGTAAGGCCCTAGACTGACCCTCCCCTCCCCCAGCGCCACAAAAAGAAACAAAGCTCTCGGTGTTTAAAGGCTTGGTATTCTTGAGCACATGGCATATAAAGAAGGCATGTAGAGTGATGATAAATTCAAAAAGTAATGAGATGCCACTAATAGTGGAAGTATCTCTAGTAGTGACAATTTAGATTGAGTTAATGCTTTTGAGTATATAAAGTATTTCCCACATGATTCAGAGTCCTGTGGATCTACTGGAGGTAAAAGTGAGTGCAGTGGCCTGAAATCACACTGATAATTTTATGGCTCTTAAGTTTAAGCCTCTTTCTTAATATATTATGTTTATCTAATATTCTTTCCTCTGTTGTGAATGTTCTTGTATCATAGGCTATAATTGAAGATTGGATTTCAACTCGGGATGTTTTTGTTTTGTTTTGTTTTTGAGGCCAGGTTATAGTCTAGGCTGACCTCAAACCCATGATCTCCTATCCTCAGCCCCTCAAATAATTGGAATTTCAGGCAAATATTGAAATCGTATGTGTATACCACCACGCTGGTGAGAATTTGTGGCGCACGCCTTTAATCCCAGCACTTGGGAGGCAGAGGCAGGCAGATCTCTGTGAGTTCAAGGCCAGCCTGGTCTACATAGTGAGTTCCAGGACAGCTGGGGCTACAGGGAGACCCTGTCTAAAGAAGACAAAAAAAAAAAAATCGGGGTTGGGAAGATGACTCAGCAGTTAGGAATACTTGCTGCTTTTCCAGAGTACTAGAGTTCAGTTCCTAGTACCCTTGTTGGGTAGCTCATAACCTCCTGTAATTCCAGCTTCAGGGGATCCAATGCTCTTTTCTTCCTTCTGTGGGTATGTGCACTCATGTATACATACCCACATACAGATTCATATGTATAAGTAAAATAAATGTAAAAAACTTGGCCTTTTATTTATATATATTATATATATTTATATATAATATATATAAAGGCATATTTACCTTTTTCTAAAGCCATGAAAATAGCATGAAAAATACTTTTTAAGCCTGGTGTGGTGGCACATGCCTTTGATCCTGGCACTTGAGAGGCAGAGGCAGGTGGATCTCTGTGAGTTCAAGGCCAGCCTGGTCTATATAGTGAGTTCCAGGACAGCTGGGGCTACAGGGAGACCCTGTCTCAAAAAGATCAAGAAAACATACTTTTTAAAAGAAATTTAAATTGACATTTTGACAAGTGAATAAGTTTTTTTGACATTGCTCTTTTTTTGTTGTTTGTTTTGGGGTGGTGCTGAGGATTATCCTCAAGGTCTTAAATGTGCTGGGCAAACACTATCCCTGAGATATGTCCCCAGCCCTGTGGGAAAAAGTGTAGTCTATATGTTATCCTGATTGTAGGTAGTGGTGCACACTTGTAATCCAAGTGCTGAGGAGGCTGAGTATGTGAATTGTAATTCAAGGCTAGGCTAGGCTACTTAGTAAGAGACTGTCTCAAAAAGACAAAAATTACCCTAGGCATATTGTAAGTAGAAAATGAAGAGTGAAAAAATAAAGGCAGAATGAAGCAAGGATTCCCACAATACAGTCTGTTATCCAGTTGGGAGAAGTGAATAATCAACACAGGAGAATTTGAGGTGACATCGATGTCTGTGGTATCCATTTATAATTACCTTAAAGTAACACATTTTAATGTTCATTAAAATATTTAATTAGCTGTAGAAAAGCGAGATGATTCTAATCCTAGTGGTTTGTACTTTTCAATTGCTTTATAAAACCTGCCTGTTAAAAAATTTAAATAATACACCAGAAACCCAAAGAAAGTTCCCAAATTCCAACCATAGTTAATATGTTGATAAGAATTTGTTCTTTCAACATCGCTAAGAATTTTAGTATAAGTAAGTATGCTGATAGCTGGAGATTTACATCATTGGTAAGTCAGTGTTCAATGTGCTCTAATATTTGCTTCCTTCTCCTTTTGTTTAGCTACTATTTGCCTTAATTGTTGTGGACAACTTTTCTTATCAGTAGATAGTTGCTTGTTTTTCTGGTGTTTGGGATTGAACCCAGGACTCTGCACATTTTCAATAAGCTCTCTACCACCAACAACCTCCCTGCCTTGATAGTAGCTCTCCTATAATCTACATTTGGGCATTGATGCTGTGATTTACCTAAAGCCACCAAATGATGTGTTGTTTTTTTTCACTTCTTTGGCAGAAGAAAACTCTAAGTAGAAATTGGCATAACTGCATTTGAACAAAAGATTTTTGATTTCTAAAACTCTTATCTCTTAACTTGCCAGGTGGGTCTTCACACAACTCTATGACAAAGGCCTTGTGTATAGGGGCGTGAAAGTCATGCCCTTCTCCACTGCATGCAGCACTCCACTCTCCAACTTTGAGTCACACAAGAATTACAAGGTACTATAATGTGGTAAAGACGTCCTAAGCTGTTTTTCAGTATTGGCTTATTATATAAAAGTTGACTGCTTGTGATCAACGTGAGTATTCCCAGTTATTCGCAATATGGAGTATCGATGCCAGGCATCTGTTACTACTGAGTGCCAATGATACTGCCAGTCATCACTTGGAGGCTCTGTTAGATTAAAAAGAGGGATACTTTTCCCTCACTGGATTTATTATGTATTAACTTAGATGTGGTAGATTTTTTGTTTTGATCATATTTTGTGCTTAACAAATCAAGGTCTGACATTTTCTTCCAGTTACTGTTCTTCATAATATTATCTGTTAAAGGTGTTGTGAGCATGGGCTAGAGAAATGGCTCAGCAGTTAAGAGAACTTGTTCTTCCAGAAGAACCAAGTTCAGTTCCAACAACCACATTGGGTGACTTAGAACTGCCAATAAGTTCAGCTCCTGTGGAATCTGACGCCTCTGGCCTCAGCAGGTACCTGCAGTCACATGCACATGCCCACACAGGCACACATGTATATACATCATTAAAAAAAATTTTTTTAATTCTTTTGTCTTTTTGAGACAGAGGCTCCCTGTAGCCCCAGCTGGCCTGGAACTAAACTATGTAGACCAGGCTGGCCTTGAACTCACAGAGATCTGCCTGCCTCTGCCTTGAGTGTTGGGATTAAAGTTGTATGCCACTTAAAAGGTATTTTGGGCCAGGCGTGGTGGCGCATGCCTTTAATCCCAGCACTCGGGAGGCAGGCAAGCGGATCTCTGTGAGTTCAAGGCCAGCCTGGTCTACATAGTGAGTTCCAGGACAGCTGGGACTACAGGGAGACCCTGACTCAAAAAGACCAAAAAAAAAAAAAAAGGTATGTTGGAGGCTTGAGAGATCGCTCAGTGGTTAAGAGCACTGGCTGCTCTTGCAGAAGGCCTGGGTTCAATTCCCAGTACCCATGGCAGTTAACAACCATCTGTGTAACTCCAGTTCCAGGGGATCCGATATCATCATCTGTCCTCTATGAGCATTCCATGATATGGGTGAACTTACACACATGCAATTAATACATTCAAACACATACAATTAAAAAATTAAGGGGCTGGAGAGATGGCTCAGCAGTTAAGAGCAGTGACTGCTCTTGTGGAGGACCTGGGTTCAATTCCCAGGACCCACATGATGGCCACAAACCATCCTTAACTCCAGTTCAGAGGAATCCAAAGCCCTCTTCTGACCTCCACGGCATTGCACAACATGGGTGCACTCACATACATGCAGGCAATACACTCATACACAGAAAATAAAAATAAAATATTAAAAAAAAGTATTTTGAAGATTTAATTGAAATGCTGAGTTGTATTAGGATCTGTTCTCTGATTTTACTTGCTGTCACTGTGGTGACTGCTTTATGTCATCTAGTGGAGAGGATAAGCCCTAGTGAGTCTTTGAGCACGTGAACTGTATCTTTGTCTGTATTCATTAAATGTTTTAACTTTTGCCAGTTCACGTAACCTTCTTTTTTAAAAGGTACTGACTTTTTGGAAGTCTTGTTTCATGCCCAGTGAACTGGCTCAGCAAACTTACCTAAGTTACTCCATTTTGTTCAGAGCTATTTTAGCAACTTTTCTCCACACCAAAAGGAAAAGGGGGACAACCTTGGGTCTTGGCAAATTGTCCTAGCTATGAACCATGGAATGTACTAATTCCAGACATTTTACATCTGGATAACTGCTTGTTTTCGCTTCTATAACTCACTTGCTATTTTAGGTCACCTTGGCAGAAAGTATAAGACCACCCTGTTATTGTATGACCACCCGGTAACTGCTGATTTCAGCTTTTTTACTGTACGTGTTATGGCTAGGAAGTTGACTAATTGTAAAATTACAAAGTTGATTGTCAAGTTATATGACTGTATCACTTGTCTGTTTAATGATTGGTTGTTGATTAATAGATTCAAAGTTCTGCTATGTTGTACAAACCTGATTGGTTCGCAAATGTCCCGTTTGAATAATGTTTCTGTAATCCTATAAAAACTCTGACCTGACAATCATCAGGGCTACCTTTACTCCCGAGATAGACAGCCTGGCCGGTCGAAAAATAAAATTTACCTTGCTACTTAAAGTGGTGTTGGTGATTTTTTGTGAATTCCGTCCTGTAACACCAGGTTTGGAAATTATGTTAGTAGAGCTTACAGTTGTAAGCAGAAGTGTCTGTCATTGTAGAGAATGTTTTCCCTATTTCATTTGATCTTTGTAAGATACCCTGTATCTTACAATGCTTTATATTTGTGATTTCCATATAATTGTTAGGGCATCTTTTAAATATAGCTGAATGATACTTTATTTTTGTCTTATTGAGACAGGGTCTCCCTGTAGCCCCAGCTGTCCTGAAACTCACTATGTAGACCAGGCTGGCCTTGAACTCACAAAGATCCGCCTGCCTCTGCCTCCCAAGTGCTGGGATTAAAGGTGTGTGCCATCACGCCTGGCTAGGATATTTTTTTAAGAGCTCATTTTATTGTGAAAATTAAATTTGTTTAGTTCCCTTTCAGACATTTCCTTTTTGTTACATCTCTTGCAAATTTGTAAAACAGTTTTCCCTCAATGTCTTTCAGGATGTTCAGCATCCTTCAGTATTTGTAACTTTCCTTTTGGAGGAAGATGAAAATACATCATTAGTTGCATGGACAACCACTCCTTGGACTCTACCTAGCAACCTTGCCCTATGTGTTAATCCAGAAACACAGTATGTGAAGATTAAAGGTCAGTAGAAGCCTACTGTGCTGGACAGCTTTAGTGTCAACTTGACACACCTGGGTTGAGGGAGCCTCAATTGGGGAATTACCTTCATTGGACTGGCCTGTGGCCATGTCCATGGGGCATCTTCTTGATTGTTGAGTAATGTGGGTGGTGCCACCCCTGGGCAGGTGGGCCTATGTTGCATAAAAAAGTGGGCTGAGCAGGGGCCAGGGAAGCAAGCCAGTAAGCAGTGTTTCTCCATGGCCTGTGCTCCAGCTCCTGCCTCTAGGTTAAAAAATATGTAAGCTAAATAAACCCTTTCCTCCCCAAGTTGGTACTGGTCAGAGTATTTTGTCACAGCAATGGAGAAACAAACTAAGACACCTAGTTACTTGTGATTAGCATGAACAACATAAGTTTATGGAAGTATAAAAGCTTATATTTCTTTTAGTAAAAAAATTTTCCACAGAATTTTACTTAATCAAAAAGATAAGCTATAGGGACAGGTATGTTGTCTCAGCACACAAGACACTGGTGGGAGTATCTTGAGTTTTGAGGTCACCCTGGGAAACATAGCAAGACCCTGTTTCAAAATGAGAGGGGAGAGGGGAGAATAGAGAAAAAAAGTAACCTTGGGGCTGGAGAGATGACTCAGAGGTTAAGAGCACTGGCTGCTTTTGGAGAGAGCCCAAGTTCAGTTCCTAGTACCCACATGGTGGCTGACAGTCATCTATAACTCCATTTCCAGGGTATCTTACACTGTCTCTGGCCTCTGTGGGCATTGCCCACATGTCCACCTACATATATGTAGGCAAAATGCTCATATACATAAAATATAAATAAACAAAAAGTAACCTCTAAAAAATTGTTTTCTTTCTAGTTGAAAGTGACAAAAAATTAAATAGTTCTAAGATGTAAAAGATACAAAGTAAATTTTATAACTTTGAGTTTGCAATGTAAGTTTTACACATCATTCCCCTATTCCAGATGAAACATCTGAGATTCAGAAACATGGCCTCTTAACTATTCCATGGTGGATATTTCTCATATCCACATCTAATTTTTTCCATAGAGATTTATAGGAAAAAAGATGGTTGGTACTTGAACAAATATACTTTCAGATTTGGGTAATTTATGGGGAGGAAGAGAGAAAAACTCATTATCAGAGGGGAAAAGGCTGTGATACAGCTGCTTTGGAAAACAGTATAGCATTTCTTCCAAAGTTAAAGGAATTGAAAGCAGGAACTGGGCTTGGTGTGTAATCTTTGCACTTTGAAGGTAGAGGCAGAAGGATGAGGAGTTTGAGGCCAGCAGCCTTGGCTACCTGAGACCTTGTCTCACAAAGAAAAAAGGAAAACAAAAGAATGCAAAGTAGTGAAAACAGGTGCTTGTCAGATACTGTTACACCTGTGTTGATAGCAGCACCACGCAATAGCCAAAATGTGGAAGCAGCCCATATGTCTACATCAGCAGGTGATTGATCAATGAGATGTACAGAGAATATTATTCAGTCTTAAAATGTATGGGGTAAGTTCTTTACTTCTCTCTTTGAACATCTTGGTGATGCCTATTGGGAATAGCTGTTGTACATACAGGATCCTGGCTCAGGAATCTGCAGCAGCTTCTGTGAGGGAACTGTGATCCCATCAGCATAATTTCCATGTGTAGCCAATGGGTCACTGGTAATTTATGGTGAGCCTGGCATGTTAGGGATTTTATGACAGATTTCAAATGTAGCATAAACACACCCACACAGGGTGGGGGAGGGTACAGATGTGCCTGCACAGCTTGCATACCTGGTCTTGTTCTTAGCATGTTTTGTAGGAGATGTGCACTCAGCTTATAACAGTGTTCCTGTGAGAGAGCTTGGGCAGTGGCCACAGCTTTAAGAGAAGTTTTCCCATGAATTACAAAGGCCTTTGAAATGATCCATAGAAATATGTAACATGAGAGTTGAGAGATGCATTAGTATTCTCTCTACCCCTTGTTCCACTATGTTTCCTAAGCCTTAGGTGTAGAGGTTCCACTGTAAATGCAATAGAGGGCAATGAACATAAAGGGCCACAAATGGCCAAAGTGTAGAGAATGAGTCTGCAGAGTGGGTCCCTGGACAGGACTCCAGAATTAAACTTCATCCATCCAGGACTCAGGGACCATTACTGAAGAGGGACCATCCAGGGCTCAGGGACCATTACTGAAAGATTGTAAGAGCCAGGGAGGCGGTGCACAATCATATGGAAATAGCCTTTTTTTTATGAGTTTGAGGCCAGCCTGGTCTACATAGTGAGTTCCAGGACAGCTGGGGCTACAGGGAGACCCTGTCTCAAAAAGACTAAAATAAATATCTTTTTAAAACTACCAGAATGCATAAAATCCAGTGTGGGAGCGCTATGGGGGTGTGCCAATGGGTAAGAGGGTATAAAGATGATTAAAATGTTGTATATGAAATACACAAAAATTCAATAAGAATATACCAAAGGGGGGGGAGAAATATGTAACATACACTCTAGTAAATTCTAGTATATCATACTTTAGAGTGAGAGTTTAACTATCTAGATTTTTGTAGGGCAGTTTGTCAGTATCAAATTTTCAATGTTTATATATTTTCTCCAGGTTTCCAGGGATACTGTCTTCCAGAAATATATTGAGGGTAAACAGATGTACTGTACATCTGTTCTTACTGTACATGGTATTGACATTTTTTTTTGCATTTTTTTAAAATTTTTTTTTCTCATTGCAGCTGGTTTGTTTGTTAGTTTGTTTGTTTGAAGCAGGGTCTCCCTGTAGCCCCAGCTGTCCTGGAACTCACTATGTAGACCAGGCTGGCCTTGAACTCACAGAGATCCTCCTGCCTCTGCCTCCCAAGTGCTGGGACTACAGGCATGCGCCACCATGCCCGGCCGGTATTGACATTTTTTAAGAAGTTTAACCATGCATTAATTTTGTTAGGAATAAGTTCTGGTATCTCCATAAAGTAAAATCCAGTGGAGATGTTGAATAAATCTGCAGCTGAGGGTCTAACTAAGTGATAGGGCTCTTGCCTAGCATGTGCACTGCCCTGGGATCAATCTGCAGTACCACGAAACAAGAAAGATTTTTTTTTTTTGTCTTTTTGAGACAAGTTCTCCCTGTAGTTCCAGCTGACCTGAACTCACTGTGTAGACCAGGCTGGCCTTGAACACACAGTGATCTGCCTGCCTCTGCTTCCTGAGTGCTGGGACTAAAGGCGTGCTCTACCACGCCCTGCCAAGAAAGATCTTTATGTTCTGGTATACATAAAGGTAGTCACAATATATTAAGTGAAGACAAGTTGGAAAAACCATCTAGAGTATCACCTCATGATTATTAAAAGATAGGCCTCACACCTTTAGCCTCAGCACTTGGAAGGCAGAGGCAAGTGGATCTCTTGTGAGTTTGAGACTACACATTTTCACATACATTGGTTACTATAGGTATAGAAAAGGATCTGGAATTGAAGCCATCTAAGGGGATGAGATTATAAGATGCAGTGACTTTATGAGCTGAGTTGTTAATGTTAAGATTCACATATATTATCTTTAAAAGGAGAAAAGATTAATTTCCTTAAATGGGTGTGGGTGCAATTAATGAATGACTTTACTCCCTTCAGTGTCTGTACTGCACATCTGGGAAGTAAGGTTGTACTGTGTTCTTTGTTGTGTTCCTCTGTGTGTATAGGGCACATGCTAGGTACAGGTGAGACAGAAACTTCTCAGCACAAGATGTGTGCCTGATGTGTGCCAATTAGTCAGTCTGAGTGTCACTGGTGTCCTCTTTTTCCTTTGTTCTCATAGATGTTGCTAGAGGAAAACTGTTCATTTTAATGGAAGCCAGATTATCGGCCTTCTATAAGAGAGTGACTATGAAATCCTTGAAAGGTGAGTGTTCAAGTAGTGAAAGTGAGTATGTTTGTCTTTAGTTTTGAAGAGAGACAATCTGTATCATCGTAAAGCTGTATTGTTCAAGTTGTGTTTTAGGTACTGACTGTTGAAATCCACATTTGTACATTTGTGACCAACTGCAAACCTCAGGGGATGGTGATTTATTCTGGCCACAGTGGCATTACTTTGCTTTTTTATCATTTGTTAATTTTGTGTGTGTGTGTGTGTGTGTGTGTGTGCGTATGTGTGTGCCTGTAAAGACCAGAGGTCAACCTCAAGTGTCTTCCTCAATCGCTGCTTTCCTTATTCTTGAGATAAGGTCTCTCACTGAACCTGGAGCTGACCAACTGGGCTAGGCTACCTGGTCAACAAGCCCAGGGATCCTTTCTCCCCAGCTCTGGGATTATAGGCGCATATGACCATGCCTGGCTTTTTACATGGGTTCCAAACTCAGGTCTGCCTGCTTAAGCAGGAAGCATTTTCTGACTGAACCATCTCCCCAGCTTTGTACTTTTGATTTTAATCTAATTATGAGTTTATCTTATTTTTCAAGGTTTCCTGGTGCCTCTCTCAAAAGCAAGAAATACAAGCTTTTATTCAACTACTTCATTAAGGTAAGCTTGGGAAATGTTACACAGTTACTATCTTTTTTTGACAATGGGAGTGAAATGAGTGGAATTTACGTGTGACTGTCTGATTCTAAACTACTTTTACTATTAACAAAATTAAATTCTTCTGCCTTATCTTTAAATTAGTTAAAATTATATAGAGACTTAAATTTCTTACATTATAAGGGAATCCCATTACATTTGATTGGGTTTACATGTAAGCCTTTTTTAAAATAAATTTTATCTATTTTTATTTTATGTGTATGAATGTATTGCCTGCATGTGAGTATGTGAATGCACCCGTGTCATGCAATGCCGCGGAGGTCAGAAGAGGGCTTCGGATTCCCCTGGAACTGGAGTTAAGGATGGTTCACAGCCGCCATGTGGGTGCTGGGAATCGAACCCGGCTCCTCTGCAAGAGCAGTCAGTGCTCTTAACCGCTGATCCATCTCTCCCGCCCCCAACATGTAAGCCTTTTATCCTGTTATGGAGTTTGAAACCACTGGGAAAAAGACCAGACTCAATTCACATTTTATATTTTATTTATTTATTTTTTTTTTATGTGTATGCATGTACTGCCTGAATGTAAGTTAAGTGCACCCATGTCGTGCAATGCCCGAGGAGGACAGAAGAGGTTGTTAGATCTCTTGGAACTGGAGTTACAGACAATTGTTAGCTGCCATGTGGGTGCTGAGATTTGAACCCCGGTCTTCTGCAAGAACAGCCAGTGTTCTTAACTGCTGAGTCATCTCTCCACCTCCTCAATTCAATTCAAATTTTAATTGGTCAAATTTATTAGGGCTATAGCCGTTCATGGTCCTTTAGTCAAGGATTCAGGACCCATGGCCCCGAGGGAAGGGTAAAACGAGCTTATAAAGGCAAAAACCACAAATACCGTAGGAATTTCATCATTACTCATGGTATTACCCATGAGTAATACCAGGTGGTCCGGAGTATGGTCAGGATGCCCAAGTTAGCAAATAAGCAAACTACAGAAGCCAGAACAAGCTTGTGTTAGTCCTTCCCTTAACAAATATATAGAGATCTTGACAGTAAGGCACTTTCTGATTGAGTGCAGCTGCGATGTCTGGGAGGCGACCAAGGTCAGCTACTCCAAAGAAAGCACTCTTCTAAGGGGAAGCAGCTAAGTTCAGGTGTTTAACCAAAGGTTTTTAAGCTGGCTCTTTTTCTAGCTTTTGAAATTTAAAGTGGCTGCTTTATACAAGATGAAGTTACTTTGGCTATTACAATTTGGGGGACTCCATTTGGGGCCATTACAATTCTTTATAGTCTACTCAGGTGAATTTTTGAGATTGTCTTATGGATTTCACATAGTGCTCAGAATAAAGCATATGAAAAAATAAATGCAAAGCTGGGCATGGTAACCCATGCTGAGATCCTAGCTTGTGAAAGTCTGAGAGAGGTAGATTGCTGGTTCAAGGCCAGTCCTAAGGCCAAATACTGAATTCCCTGCTAATCTAGACTGAATAGCAAGGCACTGTTTCAAAAAGACTTAAAAAGCAAAACAGAAAATGAACAGAATTCCTTCAAGGTCGGTGTTGAGGTGGGTGTTTTAATTCCGAGTACCACAACAACTCATACATTTTGTGCCTTTTCTTAAAAGGCATAAAGCTGTTTTATGTGACTTTCATTTTCTGACAATGGACAATCAAAATCTATAGTTGTGTGTTTCCCTCCCTCCAGTCCCCCACTACCATCTGGGAAACACAAGGTCAAGCAGAAGTTGCTCCTTGGTTCTTATCTAAAGGCCTTGTAATAAGGTAATGAGCAACCTCAGGCTTGCCTTTTCACCACGCATTTGTAATCCGCTAGGCACCATTTATATCACAAGTCAGGATAAAGCATCTGCTGACCCTCTACCATCCCTAGTCACTGTTGAGAGGGATCAGTTGATGCTGGCAGCGACCTTTGTCACTTCTCCTGTCCATGGTGTATCTGTTTATCTAGCTTCATTTTTATTTTCACCCTGAAGTTTTCTCCATAGTTTGACTCCTATAAGGGCCTTCCTCCTTCTGTGTTTCAGCATCGCATTTCTATGTACTCTCCCCTCTTCCTGTTCCACCTCAGAAACCTTCAGCCATTTGCCTGGAGGAGCATTTCCCCTCTTCCCCACTTAATGCCACTGACCAGCTTCCTAGTCACATCCCCACACAGGCCCTTTGCTTTCTCATCTCTCTGCCTTTGTAGTAACCTGCTATTAAATATCCTTTGCACAGTTGGAGAGATGGCTCAGAGGCTGAGCACTGGCTGCTCTTGCAGAGAACCTAGATTTGGTTCCCAGCACCCACATGGCAGCTAGCAACCATCCATAACTCTTGTTCCAAGGAATCTGATACCCTTTTATGGCCTCAGCAGGCATTGCATGCACAAGGTGCACTTACATATCCTCTTCCTTTCAGTCATTGGCTCTGCTGAGTTCAGTTACCCTTGAAGTCTGTTCTAGTTTGCTTCTCCATTGCTGTGACAAAACGCTCTGACAATACCAACTTGGAGAGGAAATATTCAGCTTACATCTCCTAGGTCACAGTTCATCACAGAGGGAGCCTAAGGTAGGAACTTGGGGTAGGAACCTGGAGGCAGGAGCTGAAGCACAGGCCATGGAGGAGCGCTGTTTACTGGCTTGATCCCCTGGCCCCTGCTTTACTTGCTTTCTTATATAACATAGGCCCACTGCCCATGGGTAGCACCACCTACAGTGCGTTGGGCCCCCCCACATCAATCAGTAATCAAGAAGATGCCCCACAGAGATGGCCACAGGCCAGTCCAATGGAGGCAATTCACTATTTGAGGCTCCCTCTACCAAGGTATATCAAGTTGACAACTAAAGCTATCCAGCACAATTAACCCCTTACCAAGTTGACACACAAACACATCACTATTAAACCACAACCTTTCCATTTCTTCTTGTCCCCAAGATTCGATGTTAACAGTATCAAAACATAAGACCTTAAAAGTCCCACAGTACTTTTAAAAGGAGATTTAGTGTTTGGATTTTTTAAGTCTCTTTAACCATGGACTGCTGTAAAATACCAAACAAGTACTGTCTTACTTCAAAAGGGAAGAATCGGGCACATCTAAGCAAAACCTAAGTTCAGCAAGGTAGCTCAAAGGCCAGACATCTGGGATTCATTCACAGTCTTCTGGGCCTCAAAGGGTTTCGGCAGCTCCACTTAGCTCTGACTCTGCCATCCGTACCACAAACAGCTTGTCTCGAAGACCCAGGCCAGCTCCATTCCACACCTGCTGCCACCCTTGGTGGTCATCCCATGGTCTTGGCATCTCCAAAAAGCTAGGATCTCTACTGAAACTGAGGCTGCATCTTCACCAATAGCCTCTTCTGGCCTCTTAGGAGGCAAAGCCTCAGATTCTCTCCATGACCCCTTCAATCCTGGGGTCTTCACTGCAATGGAGGCTGCACTTTCCCAAATGGCCTTTCCTGGCCTCTGAGGGTGCCAAGCCTCAGCTGCTCTCTGTGACCCCTTCACACTTTCAATACCAAAACCATGAAGGAGACTCTTACACATTACCAAGTCCTGCTTCCAGCTTAAGATGGAGGCTCAGGCCCCCTCTGGACCATAGTTTCTGTACTGACCCTGAAGAAATACTTCCCAGAAGATTTTTGCCACAGTGATACTGGTCTCTTATTACTTACAGCTGATTTTTCAGCCCTAGCTAAACAGCATCAATTGTCCCAGTAAAGTAAAGGTTTCACTTCAGTGGTTCTGGTCTCTTTTTATCACAGCTGATTCTTCAGCACCAGCTGACCAGAAACCACAGATTCTCAACTCAAAATATTTCACAAACAGCCCTGATAGTCTTTACTTCCCTTTAAAACTTTACAAGCCAGGCTTCCATTGTCTACAACTTCCAGCATAGCTGTTCCAAGCTCCACAGCAAGTGAAAAGCATGGCTTTTCTAGACCAACGTTTCAAACGCTTCCACAATCTCCTGAAAACACGAAGGTCAGGTCTGTCACAGCAATGCCCCACTATCTGGTACCAATTTCTGTATTAGTTACTTTTCTCTTGTTGTGATAGAAAAACCATGACCAAGAGAACTTATAAAAGGAATAGTTTATTTGAGCTTGTGGTTCCAAAGGGGAAAGAGGCCATCATGGCAGGGAGGCATGGCAGCAGAGGTGGCTGGAGGAACAGAAGCTAAGCTGTCACACCTTCAAATAGGCACAGGAAGCAAGAGAGAGCAGCTTAAGGTCCCACAAAGCTTAAGAACTCTCTAAGACCTTATAACCCAGGACAAAATGTCTAAATGATTGGAATCAATGGGGGACATTCTCATTCAAATCATCACAAAGTCTGAATTCAAATACTGTCTAAAAGAAGCATGCTATTGGCTCCTCATTTCCAAAAATCTGCCCATTTGCATTCTGTCTTGTATGTCATAGAAATACAAGGAGGATTTTAGGACCTGACTGTCAATGTTATTTGTGAAAGTACTTTTAACAGAATTATTTTTGTAGAGGAAATAAACACTTAAGTCTTACAGTGAGTGAATTCATATAAAACTCAAACTTCGTCCTTTTGAGATTTACCTTTTATGACTGAATAACTTGAACCCAGCTGAAAGGAAAAGGAAATACAAAATATATGAGCTGCCAGGCATGGTGGTGCACACCTTTAATCCCAAGGCAGAGGCAGAGGCAAGTAGATCTCTGAGTTCAAGGCCAACCTGGACTAGATAGTGAGTTCCAGATCATAGGGAGACCTTTTTTAAAAAATATTTTATTATTTTTATGTGTATGTGTGTATTGCCTGCATGTAAGTGCACCCATGTCATGCCGTGCCTGTGGAGGACAAAAGAGGTTGTTGGATCCCCTGGAACTGAAGTTATGGACAGTTGTTAGCCATGTCGGTGCTGGATTAGAACCCGGGTCTTCAGCAAGAACAGCCAGTGCTCCCAATCGCTGAGCCATCTCTCCAGCCCCAGGAGACCTGTCTTTAAAAGATATGAGTGGGCTGAATATATCA